TGTGTGTGTGTGTGTCAGGGGTCTCCTTTGGGACAGACCATCAGACAGACAAGGAGCATTTTTGTGTGAGAAATAGAGCTATATGATTAACGAGCACTCAACACTCACTATTAATTAGCCGTGTGAACTCCTGTGAACTTTACATACAGGGCGCTCTCAGCCTTTCAACTCTTCAGGCGAACATACACACGGTCATACACACCCTCACTTGGTACCTATGAAATGTACACACATGCATACTTGTGTCTTGTATACTCATGCGTCATCACACACTTGTACCTCTGAATGGGGTTTCCTTTTAAATATCTTATTGTAAGAGGTAGCTGCAGGGAGAGCCTCACAGTGTCTATGTATGTGGCTGTCAGTCTTTTTTAATAATTTCCCTTGAGCCCTATGTAACAGATAGCATAATTAAAGGAACACGCCACCATTTTTCAGCCTTATCTCCAGGCTAGATGCTTTTAGCGGACATCAACCAACCAGATCCTGTGGCTCGCTTCAAGGTTTAGGGTTTGCTTTGAAAGCACAGCGTGCTCCTGTCAATGACACAACAGGGATCCAGTCATTTTGAGTTGCCAGCCTTGTTCATATAATACCCATCAATTAGTTGCGGATGATATAGGAAATACAAAAGTGGAAATAATTTTGGCTGGAGCCGATAAGGCTGATATAATGTATTCTAACTAAAATACTAGCCACAGTTGTTGTCTTTTTTGGCCTTTGGCAAGCAAGCGTCTTGGCAAGTTGCAACTTTCCTGACAAGCTGAGTCTGAGATGACCTAAAATGCCCATGGTCCTCAGAATAAACCCTTTCTGATTTAGGCAACAACATGTCGGTTCTGCTGGTGCAAACCTGCAGGCTGGAACTATTCATTTACCATTTTTTCTTGGCTAGAGCACAGTGTATTTTTTCATTTTCTAGTAACAATTTTCATGTAGCCACTAGCATGGATATACACTTTGTAGCCTTGTTTTTGTTCACATTTTCTGTCTTCACAAAAGACACTTAGATCTCATCCTCATCCTAATAGAAAATGTATGTTTATACCCATTTTCTGTAGTTGTATACTATGAATTAGCACTGAGGTGTTATAGCTCTCGATGCTCAGGCACCACCGTTTCATAGTTTCCACTATTAAGCTACACAAGCGGCAGTAATGAGCACCACTGTTGCTGCAACTTTCTGCTGGCAAGAAACCCATTTCACAGAGATATTGGCAGGCCCAGTGAAATATGCATTCTGGAGGAGGCAGCAGCATCTCTGATGCTGGGTCTGCCCTGAAGCTTTTAGAGGCCCTCAGTTTATAAAGAAAAATGATAGCAAGACAAGCAATCAACAGTTATTCTTTTAGGGAGAAGGGAGTGTGTGAAAATGCATGCCTGCGTGTGCTCATGTAGCAGTTGCAGCACAGACAAATCCCAACAATTTCTCAACTTGTTTCTGTTCCAAAGCTCACAGAAAGTGGTATTCCAAAGGTTTGACAAATGAGTTTAATCTCTTAATGCACCCATTTTGGTTTAATGGTTTAAAAATCCGCCTTTGAGAACTTAAGCAGAAAGTGGGAGTAATAGGAAGAATAAGCTTTCTTCTTGGCTCCAGGTACTTTTCCTGCTTTCACAAACTGTGTTTCTCCTCTTCTCTTACCTCCAGGTGATGAAGGAGACAACTTCTATGTGATTGACCAAGGTGAAGTGGACGTAAGTGGCTGAGCACACACACAAAAACATTCATTCATTTTGTCTTTAGAGAAATGTATTTGATTATGAGTTAAACCGGCTAAAGCAAACCATTACGAATAAAGGGGATTCCACTATGAACTGTGCCAGTGTGTAAGTCATAAGACGGATTGTGACTCAGTGGGAAAACCCTGCCTTCTCCCCTCAGGTTGAGACAATGTTTCTCTCTAACAATAGACAGGTTGTATTGGATTGCCCCCATGTTTTGTCCTCTTCAAAGTTCGGTTCCACTCCAATGACAATCTGAACATGGCGCTATAGAGTTCAGCGCACTGTGGAGGCAACCAAACTGAGACCGTCTTTTGTCTTAGCGAGGCTGACACAGAGCGATAGAGTTAAGTGGAGAGATAAAACAGGAGCTGACGGAAAGTTAAACAGGAAATGACCTTATCGGCTTACAGCGGTGAGCACAGATACGGTGGGTAAGAGGAGAGAAGCCGGTTGGCAAGCTCAGCCGAGCGTGCCGATATAGTTGGTCCCCCTGAGAGAATGAAGCGTATAAATACTGAGATGGTGCCTTGATAGAAAGACTGCCTAACTCTTACCCAACATTGTTGCATTGACTTGCATTGTCTTGGGTGATGTCTCGTCCAATGTGATTAGACAAGTTATGATGCCTAGTTCTAAATTCTGGTGAAACAGGTAGAGGACATGATTATTCCACAGAAGGGTAGCTGTGTCCACATCCAAACCTATATTCATATGTAGATAGGCGAATTCAGTAAAGCAGAATTTCAGCACACTGGATCATATCTCCTCAAACATTTATGAGACTGAACAGGTCAGGTTTTTTTGTTCCTAAATTGAACAAGCGAATGTTCTCTTTTTTTTCCTTCCATGATTGTTGTTTTCCTTAGCTGTTAGGTAGTCTTGTGTAAGATCTGATATTTAGTGTATGATAATCTTGCTCTCACAAAAGAGGCTTTTTAGTGGGAAACACTGTTTTTGTTTTCACCACTTATCTTACAGTCTGTGGCTTGTCCATTTACAACCAGTCGGTGTGTTGAAACCACTTGTTTAATTTGGGTGTGAGGAACAGCCTGTCCTTTTACCACAAGTTGGTCCTTACAACCCTCTCTAAACTGTATAATCTTAACTCAAACTGGTGCTCTGTTCAGCAGTTGCAGCACTTTTAGGCCTTTTCCACCAACAGGGGAACCGGCTCCGTGTCCGGTTCGCGCACTATTTTTGAGCTTTTTGTTTTTTTTCAGTCTTTTGTTTATTTCTTCAGAGCATTTCATTAAATGGTTTTGGAGCCTCTTCTCTGTCTCCGATCGATGAATCTTAGCGGTCTGCTTCCACAGCCAAGGACTCCGATCACTTCTACACCCAAGTTCAGGGGGAAGACCCGATCTCTAACCTCACCCCATCCTAATCTGTGACTCCTTCACCTCACCCTAGCAACCCACCCCTTTATCCTCTACAAGACAGTTGCTGCCTCCCAGCACAGCTCAGGCCACTAAACTACTTCAAGATCAGTGCCGAGGTTATTAAAGTGGTGGAGATGTCTTCCATTAGACAGGGGTGTAAATCTGCTGCCATCCCAAAACTGCCTGAAAGCTGTACAAACCACTGCCACTGATGTAAACACCCTCCATGTCTGCACAAATGCTATTCACTTACAGACATTGGCTGTGATT